ATGGAAAGCCCAAGAGAAAGAATTTGCTCGGATCATTCTCATCAATCCGAACTTCCACCAAGTCTTCAACTAAATTTTCTTCGACTTTTCTTCCCGCATCTTCCAGGACCTCCTTGCCTTCTGGTTCTTCTATCATCTGTACAAAACCTTTCATTGCCGGGCTATCATTAACCGTGACGAAACATTGTTTTAACATGACTTGGTCTCCCCAGACTTCTTCAATTTGCCTGGTCGGGCCAGGAAAGCGCATGACTTGGTGATAAGTGGAAGCCACTACTTGCATGGCGTGCAGCCAACCCCTTTCGAATATCAAGTTGTAGGTAGATGGGACCTTTAGTACCCAGAACTCAACCTGCTTTGTGATGGACTCCGCTTTGACCGGCAATATGATCTTCCCAATCGGCCATTCTGGTTGTGAGTTAAAGCCGACCAAAGGAGAAGTTGCTGGAGCCAAGTCTTTGTCCTCCAACTTCATTTGCATGAATACATCGTAGTACATGATCTCGACCGAACTGCCTTGGTCGATCAAAATTCGCTTGATGTAAAAATCCCTGACACGAAGTGTCACTACCAAGGTGTAACAGCGCCCGCGTGGGCCTCACGCTACAGTTCGGACTCGATTTGTGTCACGGTTCTTAATCTGAACCAAAGAGTCCAAATCTGGCAAATCGTTTTGAGAAACAGATTTTTGAAAAAGTAGTGCCAAACATGGACTGCTACCACATATTGGTGGCCTCCCAGGTCTCCTCTTCACAACCCTGTGGTTCGAATTTGGAAACTCTATGACTGGCCAAGCATTTGGAAAGACATACCTCCATCTATGTACTAGTCCAAGTGTCCAGCCGCAACCAGCTCTTCCACGTGTTGTTTCAACGGCACCCAATCCTCCATGCGATGCCCTCTTTCTTCGTAAAAAATGCAGCAGTACCTTGAGTTAAAGCCCTTCTGTGCATTCCCCAATTTTGCTGGCCAATGGACATATGGCTCACCTCGGATTTCACTGAGGATGCCATAGATTGGAATCTTAAAAACAATGGTGATGCTGATCTGTGCCTTCAATTTTCTCTTGGCATCGTCCTCTTCATTGCGAGGAGCATTAGTCCAGTTATTCCTACGGCCTTTATTTCCATCATTGAGACTAGCACCACAATGTTGTTCTCTGGCTCGGTTGTTAAGGCGGTTATCCTCCTACCTTACAAGTGAACTTTCCCTGCCACACGTTTGTCCACCGCAACTGGTTTGCCTTCTCGGTTGCAATTGCGGTTGCGGTGGCGACATCATCCTTAACTCGGATGTGCTCGTTAATCCGTTGCATTAACCATTCCATGGTTGTGGGCTGGTGCATCGTGAGGGAGTCTCACAATCTATGTCCGACTAGTAAACCTCGCTTGTATTGGGCGATTGCCAAATTAGTGAGGCAATCGAGGATCTCATTGTAGGTCTCCCAATACTTGCATTGTATGCCTTCAAAGAACTGCTCGATTCCATCTTAATACCCATGAAGTAGTCGACCTCCTTTGGTGTTCTAGTATTGGTCTTGAATCTGATGATGAAGGCTTCCACTAGTTCCTGCCACCCCTAGATACTCCCCTCCAGGAGCCTTTCGAACCACTTCAGGCCTAACTCTCCCAAACTTGCTGGGAATATGAGACACATCAAGGCATCATTGGGCCGATGGCCTGCCATTACTTGCCAATAATGACTAATGTGCATGTACGAATCTGTCTTGCCATCATAGAGCGTGAACTTAGGTTGATGGAATCGAGAGAGGCGTGCTCTTAATCTCTAGAGACAGCGGGGTGGCGGTGAGTCTTGCCAAGTCTCTGTCCATCAGTGCTGGAGCCACCATTCTGGGTGGCAGCATGGCCACTTCCTCACTGCAACATATTCTGGGACTTAGCCTTTGCAGCACCTGCACTCTTTGGGCCTCTCTGCGGTGTGCTCATTTCTTTAAGACGTCCCTTAAGTCCTATGAATGGGCGGAGTAAGAGTATCTCGACGTCGTCGACGGACGTGAGGGACAGTAGTTGTTGTCACACATGCAAGATTTCTCTATCGATGGGTCGGAATTGCCAACGCCGTAGCTCCTGGTGATGGAGAGAGAGGGTGTCTCCCGTTGGTGCTAGCTGCCTGAGTGACGGGGTTGGGTGCGCTCTCTGTGGTTTCCCACTCCAGCAACACCCTTCCCCTTGATTTGTTGCTTCAACGTCTCCATTTCAGCCACCATCTTCCGAATGAGGGCATCCTGGTCTTTGAGTTTGTGCTCCAGGCTTTGAGTATACAATTCTCCTCGCCGCTGGCGCCCCTCAGGACTTTGCGAATGGTCAGTGCTCCTAGCACTTTTGTCTCGTGCATCTCTAGGTAGCCCTCTAGAAGAGGTCTCTAGACCTGCTACGCTCGTAATGCAAGGAGGGCCATCTCTTCTCCGGATTGACTCTGGAGTGATATCATCGACGATGGACAGCGGTGTTTCGTCGATGTTCGCCATGGAAAACAGCCCAAAAAGCTTGTAGAGCAAGGTTTGTCTGTCAAAGAAATTCCCACAGATGCCGCCAATTGTTCGAGAGAGAAATATTTGCCTTGCTCCGCACTTCCTTGCTACCAAGCTCATCACACTCTGTTAGAACTCCGTCACGCTGTAAACAAAATGAAGGTGAGCTACCCGACGGGTGGTTTTTTCGGAAAACCCTTCCGACGGTCAAGTTAGCATTTTTAGAAAAGAGAGAAGGCAGAGCACTGTAGAGAGAGAGAGAGTTGCACAAAATTGCTTACCTCCAACATCTGCATGCTCCTCTTTTTCAAGGCTGGCCATGTAGTCTCAGAGATTGTGGGCGCACTACCTTTGTTGTCCTTCTTTAGACAGGCGGATGTGCTCCCCTCTACATTTCTTACACGTGTAAAGACCAAAACTACCAAACAGTATTTATCGTACCGCCAAACGGTATTGACGCATACCAGGAGTAGATTCCTCTCTTCTCGTTATTGGTCCACATAGAATACTGGACCAAGCTATCACTTGGATCAAACCCAGAACACTGTCCCTAAACGCTCCACTACCGAGCTGATCCAGAACGGCCATCAAGTCGTAGCACAGCCATGGCACACTGCGTGTTCTACGTGGACGCACTACGCCGCACCTGACCTGGCCGACCTAGTAACGTTGAAATGATCCTTTGGAACCATGATGCCAAGAAATGGCCCGACGCAGATCCAGGTTCTGTACCACGATAGGCCGGCCGAGATAATTCCACGCAGCACCAATCTCCGAGTTGTCACCGCTTGGCCCAGCCCATGTTCCTTTGGCTCAGTCCAACACCATGTCCCGTGTTGGCGTAGTTCAGCCCAACACCATATCCTGTGTTGGGGTAACTCGGCCCACTATTCAACACAAATCTTCGAGAGAGGCCATAACCCATGAGGAAGAATTTTGGATTGTTGGGTTGGTGGGAAAAGTGCATACATGAATAGGTATAACATGACATTTGAGATGATTAAGAGAGGAGTGACCCATGGCTCTATAGGTGCATGGATTGGATTTCTTTTTCTCTTACTTCTAAACTAGTAAATATAGAAATCTTAGTAGAAATTTTTGTCAAACAAAATTGGAAACCTTTAGAAACCTGCTAGAAATCTGATTGAATATTTCACCAATTCTAAATTTAAACGAACAGGAAATTTAGAAATCGCTGTAGAAATTTCTGTCAAACAAAAATGGAAATCTTTAAAAACCTACTAAAAATTTGATTGAATACTTCCTTGATTCTAAATTTTGGAGTATTTATTAAAAAAAATTGACTTATTTCTAATTATACATTTCCAAAAATGTTTTCAAAATATACATAATAGTTTCCAAGAACTTCCTACATGTCTGGTTGAAATTTCTTAAATCACTCTCCAAGGACATTTTTTAAACATGTTCAAAAGAATTTATATATGTATACATATATATTCCACAAATCTCTCAACAAAAATTCACAAAAAACTTCAATAAGTTTCTTAGTAGTTTCTGCAATGTTTTTATAACTTCAGTTTTTTTTTTTTTTCTGAAAAAGTTACTCTAAATTTTCGAAAGAATCATATTTCTCTTGCCAAATTGAGTTCCTCGGACTTGTTTAGGGATGTGTTTGGATCAAGAATTTTGAGTGAGAATTTGTGAAGGGAAATGAAAAATCGAAGGGAAAAAATAGCTTATATTTTGTTCACTTTTTTCTTCATTTTTTTTTCCCTCCTTTCGTTCCACATCACCCCTCAAACCTTTCATCCAAAGACGACTTGAAAGTTAGCAAATGAAAAATGAGATATGCTGGTACATCTGATCATGATTCACGAGTGCATATCTTGAAAAACACAATCATTTCCGGCATCTTGCCCAGTGCTTCGGTTTTGCATTTTGTTTGGTACAAAAACCTTTTTAAAGCGCACCAAACCCTATGGAAGAATTTAAGGTTGGGAGTGGAAGCAGAAACGAGACCCCTATAGGAGCCTTTACGTTTGGGAGCAGGAGTGACGTTCCCATTAGAGTTTTCTACTACTAAGTACATAACCCAATGAAAATCAAATCAAGGAATGTCTTTTAGAGGACGAGTAATTATCCTGTCTTCCGAGAATTCTAGATTAGCGGGTGTGCCCAATCAATATTAGGAGGCTAAAATATAATTACATGGCCCAAAAAATAAGAAAATAATGGAGAAATCACAAGATACCATTGGACTGGCATGTAGCCACGTGGTGTTCCGGACTTATATATGTGATAATTTCCAGACACATAGAGGCCTGTTTGGAGGCGAAGAATTGTACAAGGCACTAGATACTTTTATGCAGACTTGTTAGTGTGCCTAGTGGTTATCTCCAAACAAGGACACACCTACCTACTGCGGTTAAACCATTATAATCCCTGTGATATATGCATATATATATATATATAAAAATTCAGGGCAATAAATATTCTCTACTTATTTTTCTATTTCCAACTACATTTACAGTCTCATCACAATTGCATCTTGGAGAATTGGCACCAAAGATTGGCAAAATTTCATAACATCCCAAAAACTCGTGCATTTACATGAATAGTTTACATCAGAAATCATTGTTTCGTTTGGCTCTATGTAGACCTTGGATTTACATAAATAAAAGCACTGAAAACATAATGGTTCACTAACATGATATTAGTTCTTTTAGTTGAACACAAAATCTAATCGCATAGTACCAGACACAACTCTCTCATATAGAGGTGGGACTCCCCTCATTGTCATCGGTTTTTGTCGTCTTAGATTTTTTCTTAGTTTTTACATTTCGGCATTTTTGAAACCTGTTCTTGGAACTGCAGAGAGATGAAGACCTCCATTGATGTGAAGTGTGAACATGGTTTTATAAGTCACATTTTTGGTTTCATCGGCTAACTTGAACCGGAAGAATCGGAGAAGAGCAGTTGACATAATCTTCATTTGGCGATAAGCAAAGTCTTTCGCTAAGCAGATCCTAGGACCTGCCTGCAAATCACAAACACAACCACAAATATTTGGTAAGGGCATGTTCAATTTACAATTTCTTCGTTTCATATTTACAAAAATTTTGAAAATTGTGTAATAAAAAATGCGTTGGAAATCTATTTTCATTTTCAAAAAATTATAAACAATTTAAAAAATTGACTACACTCTTTTAACCACACAAAAAAACAAAAAACAAAATAAGGAGTTGGTTTCACTTGTTTAGTTTCATAAACAGAAACCATCTCCATTGACAATCTCCTCTAGTTGACATATTACCTTCGGCCACCATCTCCAACTAGAAACACCTCTGAACACCACCTCTTGTTGAAAACCACCTCCCGTCATAAACTACCTCTAGTCACTCAGCAACCAGCAACCACCTTTTGCTACTACCTCCCTTTGACAACCACCTCAGACCACCCCTCTTACTTGTTTTTAAAACATGTTTAAACTTTACATGTTCATATTTTTGTTTTT